AGCTGAAATAAAAATATGAGCATTCAGCATATATCTATAATACTCAAAACAAAAAATAGATTCCAAAATGTCATAAACAGCAAATGAATGGAAATGGAGGGGAAATTGGTGAACAGAAATGATATTCATGTTACAGGGTTCTATAGAACAGAGAAGAAAATCAAATTCATATTATCATTGCGCAGACAAATTATTTCAACGGCCTCTTTTCAGTATGTAATGAGTTTCCGAAGCTTTCTAATGATCTCAGAAGCTTGTAAAGGTTATGGACTGATCAGTCTCTTGAAATATTTGCGACTGAAGAGCTCAAATTGGAGAATTGCTCAACCAAGAACTATATATGTTTAGTAATTCACGATAGGGATCAAGGAAGAATATATTTTTCTTAATGAGTCTAACCAACGGATTATCAACTATTAAGATACTGCACTTCGTCTTTTTCCTTAACCAAGGACATGATGTCCCATTTCTCAAATGGCAATCTGGCTAAGAATACCCAGTTTAGAGTAAAGCTATATTTGATAAACAGGGCATCTGAAAATTGGCCAAAAAAATGACTGGCCATCTGAAACTCCTAACTTTTGTTTACTGGGCAAATTCTACACCTATTCATAGCAACCATTACATGGTTGAAAAGCACTCCAATCAAACAACTATACTTAGTGTCAGCCTGGAAAAGTGTACCCACCATCTAAACATTCCACCAGGCCATCATTATTTACCTGGGATGTGCAGATAATTCCCCAGACCTACGATAAAACATGATATCTTTGCTGCAGTAAATGATTTACATCAAGTGCAGAGAGAGAGAGAGAGAGAGAGAGTTGTTCAGCAAGATCTGCATTCACCGAAAGCCCCAGCTACAGTTCTTTATCTAGCTTGTTGAAAGAATTGATTGAAAGTAGAAATAAAAAGAGGCTTCCTGAATTCTTCTTAATCAATATGGAAGGGGATGAGTGCTAGGAAGACTGTAGTATTAGATTTTAAAAGAAAAATTTGGAGAGGTTGCTTCAACTTCGTTGATTGATAAAGTGAACTTCAATTTAAAAAATAGAATTGATCTATTATGCTCATAAAAGACTCTTAAAAAATGTATTTAACTATAGGTCCATTGAAAAAGAACTATCATTTCCCTTAGGATATCTAATGTAAGTAGGTGCTAACTCTAGTATTATAACTTTCTTTCGAACAGATAGTTCAACTTGTTAAAATGGTTGATTGCGGTTCATACCATTATAGTTTCCTTGTTCATAAAAATCACTCAGAAGAGAAACCGCTTCTGATGCCATTATTCCTCCACAACATTTGAAAACTTTTGTTTCCATTACTGCAAGAGAAACAAGAAAAAGTTGGAAACATTCATCAATTAGACAGACAGTTGAAAGCGGGAACATAGATGAAATTTCTATGGAAACCAGTCAGTCAATGTTCCCGATGATTCTGCAATTTTACCTTGTTCATCAGCTTGGAACCCGGAACAGATTCCAATTGCAAAACGTGTCCAAATATCATGCTTAGAGATAATTTAGCAGACTAATTGACAAAGCACTTTGCAAAAGGCGGTACTATCTAAGGAAAACAAGTTTGCTGATAGGAGAATAGGTTTTGTTTAAAAAATTTACATTTCGGTCCTAAGGTTATCAATTTTAAGAAATGTCTACTCCAAGAAATCGATTTTCGTGCAAGCAAATTATCTCTGAAGAGTACCAATTTGAAGGGTACCATTTGATTCAATTGACAATAACTAGACTCTAATAGTGGCATTGACCTCGGCAAAATTCTTGGATCAAATCTAAAAAAGATGTGTGTTTGGGGTAACTATGGCTTGAAATTTTTCACTTTAACAATGCCTTTGGGCCATTCTATATTTTCTCTTCTACATAAAAACCCAATGTCCACGGAGAACAAATAACATGATGTAAACAGAGTGATACTTAGAGGCTTTTAATTCGGATGGGTAAGTTCTCTTCATAGAAATGTTGGCACCAGTGATCTGATTGAGAGAAGATTTGTGGATGATTTGTATACCAGTACTGGCTAGGTTGGGTTTCTATCAGCTATGTCTTCCAAACATTGCATAGGAACCATGCTCACCATTATAACAACAGTCTCATACTCTCTATCATGAAACTATGCAATAATTAGGGCTAGTTTTTGAGCGCCAGAGGGAGGAAATTGAGCAAGGCAGTCCTTTATCTACAAGATGAGTCCTCTTGCTTGATGTCGTTTTCAGAAAGGCAATGAGCTAGTTCATCTTTCCCACACTACTTTTGACTCATATTCAGATTATTAAGAGCAGCATGACTATAAATTTCAATCTCTAAAAGTCAAGAGTTTTCATGGTTTATTTCCTTTTCCCAAAATTTTTTGTTGAGATGCATCCTTAGTACATCTCTTGCTTCTTCTCCCTGTACTTGAGCTGTTGTTCTTCAAAAAATACTTGAATAGAAAAACAAGGTCCATAATCTAGATTAGCTACTTCATTTACAGCGTAAATCACAATGAAACAGATCCTGTTTCACTACGCTTTAACTTTTGTGTCAACAAAGTTTGAGTAAAACTTTGATAGTTTTAAACAAGCTTAGAAAACATGATATGTTAGGTCATAGCAGCACCAGACAGATGAAAAATCATTCTGAAAACACTAGCCATACACCGCAACTTAGTAGGCACCTGCTCTCACGTATGCGAGAAGAGACAATTACAACTAATAAACACAAAAAGAGGTTTCTTTATCAAGTACATTGCCCATGGCATATCAGAAAGCATAATTTACTCATGATAAATATCACATTTCTTTGCAGATTTCCAGATTTAACCATGACAACACTAAAGACATCAAAATTCTCACTGCAGTGAGAAAACGTGAGAAACAAGGGGGAAAGGGAACAGGAAAGAAGAAACTAATGTAATGTTAGCTTAACTTGTAGCACTTCCCAGAACCGTACATCTTTTAGGGCATATGAAAAGAATACAGAAATATCTAACAAATCACAAAGAATTCAAGGAAAAGGAAACAAAGCAGAGAAATTTAGAATTAATATATACTTGAATTCTTGACGCTTCCAGAAACTCCACTTAAGGACAGAAAAGATGGAAAATTAGTTCCATAACCTCCATTTATTTTCATGGTTATGTATTGCAATATTTAAATAGTGACAACAAACAGAACCACTAAGAAATCACATCCATCAGTAATCAACATAAGGAAGACCTTCGGTAAGCTTTAGTTGTCAATCATCATATGTCACAATTTCAAAGTGGAGCTAAGTGGATACCAAATCAGCAACAAAAGCAAGTTCAGAAACTGACCTAATGGATACCTCGGAGCTACTTGAATGGATCGACAGAATTGAGCCACAGCCTCCAAATTTATCATTTGTACGGCCATAATATACTTCCTTTATACCTAAAAAGGGGTAAGAGAAATCTTATTATTTATGAATAAACCAATTCAGGAAAGTTTAGTGTTATTTCAGTATGACCAATAGATGCACCAATGATCGATAATGCTACTGCACATACATGCATGGTTCACATGTCACATAAAGGGAGTATGCTGAAAATTTCTCTGCAACTTCTGCAGCTGAAAATCCAGTCATCTGCCACTGTTCCTGAAGGACATCAAGAGCTTCCATCTCTGCATGTCTTGTTGCCTATGAAAGAGCAAGGAGAAAAACAAAGCAAGCAAATCAAATTTAGGAGCTTTGTCAGAAAGATAGTTTCTTGCAGTGTAGGTTAGCATAAATTTAGGAAATGCATTTCATGAGGAATGTTTTCTCCTTCAAGTTAACTAATTGAGAGAATATATAAGATAGATTAAGGCATATACTACATGAACTCAACAATTTTTGCTCAGTTGAAGTTGCTGAGAATCTCACATGGAAAAAGAGGCTTCTTACTGGATTAGCCACCTCCACCTTTTATAACAGTATTTTTATATATACCCGGTAGCAAGGTGCCTTTATTCTTTCAGTATGCTCCACAAGATACTAAAAGGGCCATATATTTTTCGTATCGACTATTCATTACTGTCCATAAAATCATTTATAGCAGTGTAATGTCACCATAAAACTATAAATAATTGCAGCAATAGACTATTAGATAGGAGATGATCTCTACCAGAAATCAGGCTTAAATTATTTGTGTACGTGTTGCCATTGTACGAAGAAATGTGCCCAAAGAGTTGGTTCTTAAAATCTTCGAAGGCAATACAATGCTCACAATGCTTTTTTTATAACAAGTAAGAATACCAAAGTCAAGCTAACATACAGCCTAAGAAAATAATAGGGAAAAAACCACCAAAAACCCCAAACTTTGCCATCTGTGACATATTTACCCCAAACTTTTTTTTGTGACACCAAAATCCGAACTTTGCTTTTTGTGACACATTTACCCCAATGTATTTAGTCCATGGGCATTTTCGTCTTTTTGCTTTTTTTTTTTTTTTTTCTTTTTTTTCCTTCCGGCGAGGGGGCCTCGCCGGATCCGGCAAGGGCTGCCCATCGCGGATCCGGCGAGGGGGCCTCGCCGGCGTCGAGCGAGGGCCGCCCTCGCTCGCCTGAGCGAGGGCGACCTCGCCCGACGCCGGCGAGGGCCGCCTCGCTCGACGCCGGCGAGGGCCCCCTCACGGAAAGGCAAAAAAAAAAAAAAAAAAAAGAAAAAGCAAAAAAGACGAAAATGCCCATGGACTAAATACATTGGGGTAAATGTGTCACAAAAAGCAAAGTTCGGGGTTTTTGGTGTCACAAAAAAAAATTCGGGGTAAATGTGTCACATATGGCAAAGTTTGGGGTTTTTGGTGGTTTTTTCCCAAAATAATATTAGGAACTTCACAAAAATAGATAAAGACCATAATATGGCTCCAAACAGAGCGTAATGGTAAATGAAAAACACAACACATTGTGCATAATAAAGCAAGAATACTGCTATTGTTGGCCTTAGTCATGTCTTATGAAAGAATAATGCAAACAAAACCCTTTACAGCCTAATTATGCCAGTGTCAGAAAAAGCACTTTCATTCATTTATTCATTCATGAATCAAACTCTACCAGAGCTAGACAAGTTGGTTTCTAAACACAAAATATTCCAAAGGGGTTATTGGGGTAAAGAAGACCAATTCAAAGGGACTGTCTTGTTCCTATGGGCCTTAACAATCCAATCAGCAACTTGATTAACCTCGTAGGGACAATGAGCAACCTTCACCTTAACCAAGTGGACCAGCAGAAACTGGCATTCCTCAATGATTTCTTGCATGGCTCATGAGCTTTCAACATTACCCGTGGTAAGCTCCACTAGTGATAAGCAGTCGGTGGATACTACAGAGCACAAGTAGAGAATGGACTCATTCATTGCTAGGGCTTCCGCAAACAGAACCGAGGGAGCTCGCACGCCTTTCGCAAAGCCAGCCACCAACATACCGCATGAATCCCGAACAATTCTAGCTATCAAAACTTCCGAGGCTCCCTCCGTCCACGAGAAGTCGGTATTAAGCTTGAGGAGTCCTCTGGCCGCCAAATCCGTCTTGATGGAGCAAAACATTGAGATTTTTATGTACTTTTGGAGCCACCACGTGACCAATCAAATCATTGAGATTTTCCCACAATCATATGCTAGGAAAAGTCAACGATGATCACAACGTTAACTAGCTCTACAAATATTATAAATTTAAGTATTTAGGACATAATTGATGCAATCAGGAAGTTCAAATCCAGTCAATGCATTCTTTGCTAGGAAACCCATGTGAATCACATGCAAATTTTTATCATCATTAGGGATCACACATGATAATCATGGTTAACAGACTATAATTTAGAAAGGTCACACAATGCAGCCCGCTTGTTATATGCACAAGTAACTGATAATCATTCATTACATAGCAAAGGTGCATCATAAACTACACATAATGTACATGATGTTCATAAAAGCAAGGAATCATAAGTTCAAAGGTCTTACCTAGTTATGCAGAGGCACGAGAGGATTCAACAGGAAGAATCAATGCATACAGATCAAATGAGAAGCCTGAGTAACCCGTGGCCTGTGAGTCTTTGGAGCTGAAATAAAAATATGAGCATTCAGCATATATCTATAATACTCAAAACAAAAAATAGATTCCAAAATGTCATAAACAGCAAATGAATGGAAATGGAGGGGAAATTGGTGAACAGAAATGATATTCATGTTACAGGGTTCTATAGAACAGAGAAGAAAATCAAATTCATATTATCATTGCGCAGACAAATTATTTCAACGGCCTCTTTTCAGTATGTAATGAGTTTCCGAAGCTTTCTAATGATCTCAGAAGCTTGTAAAGGTTATGGACTGATCAGTCTCTTGAAATATTTGCGACTGAAGAGCTCAAATTGGAGAATTGCTCAACCAAGAACTATATATGTTTAGTAATTCACGATAGGGATCAAGGAAGAATATATTTTTCTTAATGAGTCTAACCAACGGATTATCAACTATTAAGATACTGCACTTCGTCTTTTTCCTTAACCAAGGACATGATGTCCCATTTCTCAAATGGCAATCTGGCTAAGAATACCCAGTTTAGAGTAAAGCTATATTTGATAAACAGGGCATCTGAAAATTGGCCAAAAAAATGACTGGCCATCTGAAACTCCTAACTTTTGTTTACTGGGCAAATTCTACACCTATTCATAGCAACCATTACATGGTTGAAAAGCACTCCAATCAAACAACTATACTTAGTGTCAGCCTGGAAAAGTGTACCCACCATCTAAACATTCCACCAGGCCATCATTATTTACCTGGGATGTGCAGATAATTCCCCAGACCTACGATAAAACATGATATCTTTGCTGCAGTAAATGATTTACATCAAGTGCGAGAGAGAGAGAGAGAGAGAGAGAGTTGTTCAGCAAGATCTGCATTCACCGAAAGCCCCAGCTACAGTTCTTTATCTAGCTTGTTGAAAGAATTGATTGAAAGTAGAAATAAAAAGAGGCTTCCTGAATTCTTCTTAATCAATATGGAAGGGGATGAGTGCTAGGAAGACTGTAGTATTAGATTTTAAAAGAAAAATTTGGAGAGGTTGCTTCAACTTCGTTGATTGATAAAGTGAACTTCAATTTAAAAAATAGAATTGATCTATTATGCTCATAAAAGACTCTTAAAAAATGTATTTAACTATAGGTCCATTGAAAAAGAACTATCATTTCCCTTAGGATATCTAATGTAAGTAGGTGCTAACTCTAGTATTATAACTTTCTTTCGAACAGATAGTTCAACTTGTTAAAATGGTTGATTGCGGTTCATACCATTATAGTTTCCTTGTTCATAAAAATCACTCAGAAGAGAAACCGCTTCTGATGCCATTATTCCTCCACAACATTTGAAAACTTTTGTTTCCATTACTGCAAGAGAAACAAGAAAAAGTTGGAAACATTCATCAATTAGACAGACAGTTGAAAGCGGGAACATAGATGAAATTTCTATGGAAACCAGTCAGTCAATGTTCCCGATGATTCTGCAATTTTACCTTGTTCATCAGCTTGGAACCCGGAACAGATTCCAATTGCAAAACGTGTCCAAATATCATGCTTAGAGATAATTTAGCAGACTAATTGACAAAGCACTTTGCAAAAGGCGGTACTATCTAAGGAAAACAAGTTTGCTGATAGGAGAATAGGTTTTGTTTAAAAAATTTACATTTCGGTCCTAAGGTTATCAATTTTAAGAAATGTCTACTCCAAGAAATCGATTTTCGTGCAAGCAAATTATCTCTGAAGAGTACCAATTTGAAGGGTACCATTTGATTCAATTGACAATAACTAGACTCTAATAGTGGCATTGACCTCGGCAAAATTCTTGGATCAAATCTAAAAAAGATGTGTGTTTGGGGTAACTATGGCTTGAAATTTTTCACTTTAACAATGCCTTTGGGCCATTCTATATTTTCTCTTCTACATAAAACCCAATGTCCACGGAGAACAAATAACATGATGTAAACAGAGTGATACTTAGAGGCTTTTAATTCGGATGGGTAAGTTCTCTTCATAGAAATGTTGGCACCAGTGATCTGATTGAGAGAAGATTTGTGGATGATTTGTATACCAGTACTGGCTAGGTTGGGTTTCTATCAGCTATGTCTTCCAAACATTGCATAGGAACCATGCTCACCATTATAACAACAGTCTCATACTCTCTATCATGAAACTATGCAATAATTAGGGCTAGTTTTTGAGCGCCAGAGGGAGGAAATTGAGCAAGGCAGTCCTTTATCTACAAGATGAGTCCTCTTGCTTGATGTCGTTTTCAGAAAGGCAATGAGCTAGTTCATCTTTCCCACACTACTTTTGACTCATATTCAGATTATTAAGAGCAGCATGACTATAAATTTCAATCTCTAAAAGTCAAGAGTTTTCATGGTTTATTTCCTTTTCCCAAAATTTTTTTGTTGAGATGCATCCTTAGTACATCTCTTGCTTCTTCTCCCTGTACTTGAGCTGTTGTTCTTCAAAAAATACTTGAATAGAAAAACAAGGTCCATAATCTAGATTAGCTACTTCATTTACAGCGTAAATCACAATGAAACAGATCCTGTTTCACTACGCTTTAACTTTTGTGTCAACAAAGTTTGAGTAAAACTTTGATAGTTTTAAACAAGCTTAGAAAACATGATATGTTAGGTCATAGCAGCACCAGACAGATGAAAATCATTCTGAAAACACTAGCCATACACCGCAACTTAGTAGGCACCTGCTCTCACGTATGCGAGAAGAGACAATTACAACTAATAAACACAAAAAGAGGTTTCTTTATCAAGTACATTGCCCATGGCATATCAGAAAGCATAATTTACTCATGATAAATATCACATTTCTTTGCAGATTTCCAGATTTAACCATGACAACACTAAAGACATCAAAATTCTCACTGCAGTGAGAAAACGTGAGAAACAAGGGGGAAAGGGAACAGGAAAGAAGAAACTAATGTAATGTTAGCTTAACTTGTAGCACTTCCCAGAACCGTACATCTTTTAGGGCATATGAAAAGAATACAGAAATATCTAACAAATCACAAAGAATTCAAGGAAAAGGAAACAAAGCAGAGAAATTTAGAATTAATATATACTTGAATTCTTGACGCTTCCAGAAACTCCACTTAAGGACAGAAAAGATGGAAAATTAGTTCCATAACCTCCATTTATTTTCATGGTTATGTATTGCAATATTTAAATAGTGACAACAAACAGAACCACTAAGAAATCACATCCATCAGTAATCAACATAAGGAAGACCTTCAGTAAGCTTTAGTTGTCAATCATCATATGTCACAATTTCAAAGTGGAGCTAAGTGGATACCAAATCAGCAACAAAAGCAAGTTCAGAAACTGACCTAATGGATACCTCGGAGCTACTTGAATGGATCGACAGAATTGAGCCACAGCCTCCAAATTTATCATTTGTACGGCCATAATATACTTCCTTTATACCTAAAAAGGGGTAAGAGAAATCTTATTATTTATGAATAAACCAATTCAGGAAAGTTTAGTGTTATTTCAGTATGACCAATAGATGCACCAATGATCGATAATGCTACTGCACATACATGCATGGTTCACATGTCACATAAAGGGAGTATGCTGAAAATTTCTCTGCAACTTCTGCAGCTGAAAATCCAGTCATCTGCCACTGTTCCTGAAGGACATCAAGAGCTTCCATCTCTGCATGTCTTGTTGCCTATGAAAGAGCAAGGAGAAAAACAAAGCAAGCAAATCAAATTTAGGAGCTTTGTCAGAAAGATAGTTTCTTGCAGTGTAGGTTAGCATAAATTTAGGAAATGCATTTCATGAGGAATGTTTTCTCCTTCAAGTTAACTAATTGAGAGAATATATAAGATAGATTAAGGCATATACTACATGAACTCAACAATTTTTGCTCAGTTGAAGTTGCTGAGAATCTCACATGGAAAAAGAGGCTTCTTACTGGATTAGCCACCTCCACCTTTATAACAGTATTTTTATATATACCCGGTAGCAAGGTGCCTTTATTCTTTCAGTATGCTCCACAAGATACTAAAAGGGCCATATATTTTTCGTATCGACTATTCATTACTGTCCATAAAATCATTTATAGCAGTGTAATGTCACCATAAAACTATAAATAATTGCAGCAATAGACTATTAGATAGGAGATGATCTCTACCAGAAATCAGGCTTAAATTATTTGTGTACATGTTGCCATTGTACGAAGAAATGTGCCCAAAGAGTTGGTTCTTAAAATCTTAAAGGCAATACAATGCTCACAATGCTTTTTTATAACAAGTAAGAATACCAAAGTCAAGCTAACATACAGCCTAAGAAAATAATAGGGAAAAAACCACCAAAAACCCCAAACTTTGCCATTTGTGACATATTTACCCCAAACTTTTTGTGACACCAAAATCCGAACTTTGCTTTTGTGACACATTTACCATGTATTTAGTCCATGGGCATTTTCGCTTTTTGCTTTTTTTTTTTTTTTTTTTTTTCCTTTCGCGAGGGGGCCTCGCCGGATCCGGCAAGGGCTGCCCATCGCCGGATCCGGCGAGGGGCCTCGCCGGCGTCGAGCGAGGGCCGCCTCGCTCGCCCGGCGAGGGCGAACCCGCCCGACGCCGGCGAGGGCCGCCTCGCTCGACGCCGGCGAGGGCCCTCGCCGGAAAGGCAAAAAAAAAAAAAAAAAAAAAAAGCAAAAAGACGAAAATGCCCATGGACTAAATACATTGGGGTAAATGTGTCACAAAAAGCAAAGTTCGGGTTTTGGTGTCACAAAAAATTCGGGTAAATGTGTCACATATGGCAAAGTTTGGGGTTTTTGGTGGTTTTTTCCCAAAATAATATTAGGAACTTCACAAAAATAGATAAAGACCATAATATGGCTCCAAACAGAGCGTAATGGTAAATGAAAAACACAACACATTGTGCATAATAAAGCAAGAATACTGCTATTGTTGGCCTTAGTCATGTCTTATGAAAGAATAATGCAAACAAAACCCTTTACAGCCTAATTATGCATGCAAAATTCCACTATCAACAAATTTGTTCAGATATATTATTGAAAACCATTCACTAATTTAGACTAAAATGCTAATCATCTTAATTAGAATATAAGGTAACATATCTGAAATGCACCTAGTTACTGAAAATCAGTTTCTTACCCAACTGGAACTTCAAGGCTGTCCAAAGCAAGCTTTGCCTTATATAAGAAAAGCAAATAGGTCTTGTTACTGGTTAGGAGAACAAAACATGAGGATAAGAATAAAAAATTCTCTCATGCATAACAAGCAATTCAAGAGGAAATCAGCATCAACTTGCTACCAGTAGAAATATTCAGCATGTCTCGTAGCTACGGATCGAATGAATGCATGTCTCATAGCTATATGATCAATATCTTGCAAGTCCTATTATACAGGTCACAACCTTCCAAGCAATGGTTATTACCACGTACTCATCCTGTAATTCAGATGCGAATCCCACGTAACTCTTAAACTGATATGGTTCTAACAACACTAAAGCAAACACAGCAACTAATTTGAGAAACTACACGTTGCTCATTCCAGTGTGTCCTATCATTGGTACCTTGGAAGCTTATCTTTCGTTAATTAGGTTTCGCTCAAACATTCAAGAAGCTTCCAGGAGCTTTAGCTTCTAGGTCATTTTCCTCCATAAACGCTATGACACATAAGCATAACAAGAGAACACTAAACTGTTGCAAAGGCCTCAGAAATCAGAACTGACAATCAGCTATTCGTGCTTTTGTCTCTATCCTACTGAATAACTTATGTAAACTCCGTGTTTCTTGTGATTTTTTTCTTTTCATACTCACAGTCCACAGGGAGAAAGAAAATAACCACCTAACCAGTTATCCATGGGCACAACTCATGCTCCAAGTAAATTTGGTTTTTAATTCTCCATAGATGCCAAAGTCAACAATTGGTAGAAGGACTCAGACTGTCCAGGAACCTTTCCTAGTGGCTTGCTATCTCACTGCATCTTCTTCATTCCTGAATGGTTTTGCCTCTTCAAGTGCTGCACAAAACATAAAGACAGAGCCCTATCCTAGCGACTGAAGTTTCTCACAATTAATAGTCCTGGAAAACCTTTCACCCGCTGCACATCTGTATGAATTGTACATACTACATACCCACATTTCCTAGACACCTCAAAAGCAACCCCTCCTTAACACCACTGTGGCTGGTTGTCCGCTGCAGTGCCTGGTTTTGCGTAAGGGAGTCCCAACCTATAGCACCCGGAGTGGCTCAGTTTTCGCCTGAAAAGCGAACTAAACCAAACCATGCACAAGCTACTTCCCATTGTTTCACTCTCCCTCTGCTTGTTTTTCCCATCGAACCTAGACTTCACCTACTTCTTTGA